TTAAGAACACACAGAGTTATGCCATAGGTAGGACACACTCCATTTCACTGCAAAAAAAAATGATTCCTGAGACTCGCAAAAAAGGATAGAGACTTCACAATGGGTGCTATCTTCCCATGGCAGAAACTGGCCTATATACCAACTGCCATGTGCAGGGAGAACCAAAATGCAGGCTTTACCAAGGCAGAAACAAAGGCCCAAATTTCCCTCCATCATATTCCATACGATCTTTGCAAATAAATAAAACAAGTAAAAGACTGGTATTCTTGGTATAGCAGACAACACTAGGTTCACAATAGTTCTAGATAGATAGACAGACAGGTTTATCAACAGATAGACCAATCCATGTTAAAAAAAAAATACCTTTGAGAAAAAGAAAAAAAAAAAATACCACAGTTCATGGTGCTAGTGACATAGTCATTCTGTGCCCAAGGAAGACCTGGCAAGTTTACTTCAAGAGAGACATCTTGCATTAAAAATTTGAACTGCAAGATCTTAAAGTTTCCTGTTTTTCAATATGATATGGTTTTCTTTATTTCATGCTACCTCTTTTCCTTCTTGCAAGAAAAGTCATGAGGAACCAAATATTGTGCATGAGAAAAGTGAAGTATACAATCATAGTGACATATGAAATATAAAGGTAGCCAAAATTAGAATTTTTATCTCCCACATATTTTGTCATTTTCTCAAAGAATTTCTAATATTGTAAAGCTGTCATACTAAATTAAATGAGGTAACAGATAAAACTATAAAAACTTAGCACATTATCAAAATTCCAATGACATTTTTTGCAGAAATAGAAAAAATCTTAAAATTCATATGGAATTTCAAGGGACCCCAAATAGCCAAAACTATCTTGAAAAAGAAGAAAGCTGGAGGATTCACACTTCTGATTTCAGAACTTACAACAAAACTACAATAATCAAATAGTGTGTAATGGCATAAAGATAGACATATAGGTCAAGAGAACAGAATAGAGAGGCAGAAATAAATCCTTGCATACATGGTAAAATGGTTTTTGACAAGAGTGCCAAGACCATTCAAATGAGGAAAGCATAGTCTTTTCAACAACTGATGCTGGGAAAACTAGATATCTACATGCAAAGGAATGAAGTTGGACACTTATCTAACACCACATAAAAAATTATCTAGAAAGGGGGCTGGCCCCGTGGCCGAGTGGTTAAGTTCGCGCGCTCCGCTGCAGGCGGCCCAGTGTTTCGTTGTTTCTAATCCTGGGCGCGGACATGGCACTGCTCGTCAGACCATGCTGAGGCAGCGTCCCACATGCCACAACTAGAAGAACCCACAATGAAGAATACACAACTATGTACTGGGGGTCTTTGGGGAGAAAAAGGAAAAAATAAAATCTTTAAAAAAAAAAAAAATTATCTAGAAAGGATTAGAGACCTAAATTTAAGAGCTAAAACTATAAAACTCTTAGAACATAGAGCAAAAGTTTCAGGACACTGGATGTGGCAATGATTTCTTGGAAATGACACCAAAATAACAGGAAACAAAAACAAAAATAGACAAATTGGACTTCATGAAAATTAAACTTTTGTGCAGCAGAAGACAACATCAACAGAGTAAAAAGACAACCCACAGAATAGAAGAAAATATTTGCAAATTGTATATCTGATAAGGATTAATATCCAAAATATAGAGAACTCCTAAAACTCAACAAAAAAAAAACCCAAACAGCTTGATTCAAAAATGGGCCAAGGACTTGAATAAACATTTCTCCAAAGAATATATACAAATGGCCAATAAGCACAAAAAAAGATGTCCAACATCACTAATCACTAGGAAAATGCAAATCAAAATTATACTGAGATACTACCTCATACACATTAGGATAACTACTATCAAAAAAACAGAATATAACAAGTGTTGGCAAGGATATGGAAAAATTGGAACACCTGTGCATGTTTGGTGGGAATATAAAATGGTACAGCAACTGTGGAAAACAATATAGTGGTTCCTCAAAAAGATTAAAAATAGAATTATCATACGACCCCACAATTTCACTTCTGATATATACCCAAAAGAATTATAATCAGGGTCTCAAAGAGATATTTGTACACCCATGTTTATAGTAGCATTATTCACAATAGCTAAAATGTGGCAGCAACTCAAGTGTCTGTCAACAGATGAAAGGATTAGCAAATTGTGGTATACATATACAATGGAATATTATTCAGGCTTAAAAAAGGAAGGAAATTCTGACATATGCTACAACATAGATAAACTTTGAGGATATTATGCTAAGTCAAACATGCCAGCCACAAAAAGACAAATATTGTATAATGCCATTTTTATGAGGTACTTAGAGTAGGAGGAAAGAGGAGTTATTGTTTAATGGGTATGGGGATTCCGTTTTGAAAGATGAAGAAGTTAGCTATGAGATGAATGGTGGCGATGACTGCACAACATTATGAAATTTTAATTCGTGTATTTTACTACAATAAAAAAAAAACTGGAGAAAAACTTAAGCAGATATAATTTTAAAATATTTTTTAAAAAATCAATAATACAGGGCCAGTTCCCGTGACCTAGTGGTTAAGTTTGGCATGCTCTGCTTCAGCAGCCGGGGTTCAGTTTCTGGGTATGGACCTTTACCACTTGTCTATCAGTGGCCATGCTGTGGCGGCAGCTCACATACAAAAAAGAGGAAAACTGGCAACAGATGTTAGCTCAGGGTGAATCTTCCTCAGACAAAAAGAAAAAAGAATTAATACTTCAATAATCACAATACTTTTCCCAGTTACAATTATCATTAAGATTTGACTACTGCCATATATCCTTTATATAAAAGAATTTCATAGAATTTATGCTGGCTTCCCACATGTCTGCAACTCATAACAATCTACACAATGCTTTGGTAGAAAATGCTTTATCTTTGTTATGTGTGACATCAAGATTATTATTTCTTTATCAGCTGATGATAATATAATAATGAGCAAAATGCTTCTATATCCTTTAACCTATATTTCACATATGGGCAATAAAATGTATTACAAAACATTTTCCATTTTAAGTTTGTAATTTGGCAGAAAATTTTCCACAGCATTTAACTTACTATTATTCGCTACAGACTCTTCCTAAAAGCAAGGGGCAGCCCATTTTCTCCAGATGACTCATTAACTAAAGGCACAGTAGAATGAAGTGTTCCAACTTAAAATACCAACAGCTAAATATAACCTCTTCCACAACACTGGAAGAGTCAGTGGCTGTCTTTACTCTATAAGAGCAATCTTAAACAGTTACCTTAACAGAACACATTTAGCACATTAGGTGATCAGCAAGAAGAAAAATCTGGAACAGTGTAAAGTTTTCAAAGAAAGCATTCAGCAAAAATTGGGGAAGCTTTGCAAATTACAAAAAAAAGGAAATTAATTTTTTCTCATTCTTTAGGTAAAACACGTACCTCTCTCATAAAAGAATTTAGCACTTTAAAATATGAATACTGGTCACAAATACTAAAATTTATCTACTGGTGCCTAGTGTAGTTAAGTTGAAAGGCTTTTTCAGCCATTAAACAAATGAGAATCCAGTCATGGTTATTTCATTTGAGATTACTCTTTTGAAGAAGAACAGTGAATATATTGGAAATCTTACAAAAATATCAAGCCAAACTATTTTTTCTGGATATTTATCTTGCATATAAGATAAAAACGTAAAAATATTATCTGAAATTACTAATCAACAGTACTGATAGCTTTTCAAATAAGCAAGAAGGAAAGCTAGCAGAAGACCCTTACAAACACAGTAATCAAAGTAAAAAAAAAGAGAGAAAGAAGTATAAAGAGGAAGTCTGACAAACTGAAGATAACTGTTAGAGATGGACAAAGGAAAGAAATGAAGAAAGAAAAATTTGACAGCTTTTGAGACCTTAGATTTAGTCATCCCTAAGGCCCAACTGTTTCCATACTTTTGCAGTTTAGTGACTTGAGTTGCTAAATTCCTTTTTTAGCTTAAGCTAGTGCTGGTAAGGTTTCTTGTCATATGTAGCCAAGAAACCTAACACAGTGTAAAAATATTCTTTTAAAAAAGAGTAAACTACTAATTGTCAATACATCTACAGAAATACATCAATTTCCAGGTGTACTATGACATCATACATTCCATCTTTTCAACTTTTTCCACAAAGGAGAATGATCTCTCCTTTATTTCAAGCTTGGGGGCACGGGTCTTTTAAAAATCATCAACGTAAGATTCATTATAGGAGATCACTTCAGAGACAACTTTTTTGAAAAGCAGCACCAATTTAAGAAAGGAAACGGAAACAACTTTCCTGAAGTACTCATCTCTTTTAAAAATGTCACATCATTTTTAACAGAAAAATTAGTTGGAAGGAATACAAAATGGTAACAATAGTATTCTATTCACAGTGGAATTACTGATGATCTTTATATTTTTCATTTTATTTTTATGTATTTTCCAAATTCACAACAATCAGAAAGAAATGTTACTTTTTTAAAAAGGGTACATTTTATTTTAACCTTCATCATGGTTGAAAGGACATCTTTGCTTAGGCTTAATCTTCACATAGTTTTGAGAAGTGAATTGTTTATTTACTTCAATTCAACAAATATTTATCAAATATCTACTATGTGTAATGCAGAGTGGCATAGCAAAAATGATATGTAGTTCATGGAAGAAGCCATAAGAAAGACTTCAGTGAATATATGTTTGTTGATATAGGTTTTGTGTGTATATGTGTGTGTATGAGAGAGATGTTTGAGTTGCAATAAAGTTTAATCCAGGCTTTATGCCACAACTTTATGGCTCAATTCAACAATAAAGTATGAGCTGCTTCAGTTTAACATTTTTATTTCCTACCTACTGACACAATTTTCAAAGTACCCACCCTCCCCCAGTCAGCTGCAATATAGGCTTATAAAACACTACTTGCTTTTCATGTAAATAATCTCAGTATAATACGCAAAACAACATTTATGGATATTAAGAAAGAAAAGTGAAGTAGCACTGTTACTCACTTTAGATCCTGTTTTCTACTATAATAGTTATCAAGATTCCACTCCAGAGGTGTGTCGACAGTTACCTGTAACATAGTTCAACTTCACTGTAATATTCTAATAGTTTATAAATTTTGGCAAAAAAACAATGAGACTTTCAGGTAAACGATTCTATAGTGAAGTTTTAAAAGTTTACTTTAGTATGTTATGGTCACGTTTGTTTTTAACCACAATACTGATTTAAATGATCTCTAGTAAAAGTCTTTTTCAGTGCTGGAGAATGTGAAAACTGGAAGTTCAGAAGCTATTTAAACTCAACAGATTCCACTAGATGGGCAAGTCCTAGAACTTTCCACTGTGCCCCTTCCTAGGACCCAGAACATAACTGGGCTCTTGGCTATTGTGTTAAGGCTTGATAAAGGAAAAGGTCTCAATGCCTACAGTTCGCCAAGGTTGAAGAACAGATTTCAAAAATATTGGAAGGCAATTTAGGAAGCAGCTTACATAAATGTTTATTTGGAGCCTATTAAGGCCTTAAGGATGCCCTACATTATGTTCCATATATTATCATTAATATGCTTTATCTCAGATTGACACAACCACTCTCCCAAGCTGAGTATAACCTGAGAAATCATTCCTCTCATTTTTTACACTGCCAATCTGTTGATTCCACCTCCCAAATAGCGTTCACTTCCACCTTTTTCCCCTTTAATCTCATTGCCACATTTCAAGACCTCCTTATTTCTTACTTGGGCTATTTCAACAGTCTAATAAGTCTTCTATGTATATCTATATCTAATTTCAGGTGTACTGACTGCAGAAAGGCCTTCCTCTAATCCATTCTACACAGTTTAATCAATTAGCTCCCCTATTTAAAATCATTCCCATTACCTACTAAAAACAAATCTAAACTTCTTAGAGTATATATAATACAACCTGGTTTAATGCCTTTATATATACTAAAATCACTCTTAGTTCCCCAACTCATGTACTACGCTTCAGTCATATTGAGGTGTTCCCATAAAATGCTTTCTCATATCTCCGTATGTCTTTTGCAAAGACTGTTCACAAGTATAACCATGCCACACACATACCTTGCTACCTATCATTTTATTTGTCTAACTTCATACTTGCCTTTAAAGACTCAGCTTAAGGCATCATCTTCTCTGTGAAGGCTACCTTCACTGTTATCCTTCAATTCTAAACTAGGTATCTCTCCTCTATGCTCTTAGAGGTCACTTTTCAAGTATTTCTCATAACATATCGCTTTTTCATTAAATTACTAGCTGTGACTACTCAGAATTCTCTCAGACTCAGTTTGTTCATCCATATAGTGATTAACAGTATCTATACTGAAGGACTATTATAAGGATAAATCCAGGAAGTGCCTAGCACTTAATAAAAGTTCCAGTAAATGATAGATATACTGTCATTAATATTTTTCTCAAAGACAAACACATTAGCATTTATCTTCTTTACTTCAACAGCTAATCCAGCAGTTGGCAAAAATAAGCTGCCATACATTTGTAAAGTAAATAAATCTATGTTTCAGAAAGATGACTCCTGTAACAGTATAGAAGATGGAATTGAGGAAGTCTTGCAACAGACCCATTGGGACTTCAGAAAGAAGAGAATCACTTTCAGGGTGTTTTCAACACCTAATACATGCTACACGGAGACCCAGAAGATTTGGTGCCTCAATTGAGAATTACTACTGAAGGGAGTTTCTCTTAATTAAGAGGAGGAGGGGATGACTGGATGGGGATTCAATCCCTCATGACAGAAAAGGTGGAAAAAGAGAACCACTGAAGAAACAGAGCCAGAGGAGAGAGGGCTATAGTACTTAATTCAAGAGATAATGAATCAGGCAATAACCAGTAAAGTAGCAAAGAGGGGTGAAATTTGAGAGCCATTTCAGATGGCAATAAGAGCTAGTGAACAATCTGTTTGTGAAGGTTGAAGGAGAAGGATCAAAGATAGCTGAAAACGGTTAGTATGACAAAAGTTAATTGTGATAAACAGAAGCAAGGCACACAATTAAACTGACCCAGTTTTAGAAACCGGTAGAGTCAAAAGGGAGAGAGAATTGAAGGTAATGGTAAAATCTAGCTGAAATAACTGACCATGCCACTCAGGCTGGATAAAGAGAATAGAGTTAAGATAGGAAAGAGCTAAACAGGAAGCTGATACAGATTTTTTTTTTTTAAAGCAGTTCTGAGCAGGGACTAGGTTCAGAATGTGAAAAGAAGGTCACTGAAGTGGAATGGAGATAAAGGTAGTTATAAAAGAGGAGTTTAAGGAAGTGTGTGATAACTGGTGCTAGAAATGTCATCCACATGAGAACTAAGAAGATATCAGAAAACAGAATATTTGTAAAACAGGTACCAAAGTTTTCAAAGAAGGTGAAATGGTCTAAAAAGGGTGACACTCCAAAAGCTTCCCAACGATCTTTCCTAAGCTTGATCTAGGATTTGCCTTATTGAGTAACTAAGTTAATTAGAGCTTGCTTCCACTTCCTCTAACTTACTGCTGTCTTCCAGAATAAGACTTCCCTATTTTCTGGTATTTTTTCCATGGACACTTCAGTTTGTTATGGCCAGAACAGCACATTCTACATCAGGTGACTTTCATATATTGTAAAACCAAAATAACAGCAAAAAATCTGATTTTACACTAAACAACACAAATTTAATAATCTTATACTAGAAGATATGAACGAACAGTTATTCATTCTACAGATTGTGGTAAGAGAATGACCTAAATGAAAACAAGAAAAAATCTCCATGCATACATTTGATACAACCGTAAACACTTCCGTAAACTACATGTTTTCTAGGAAACTTTAGCTGTTCTCATCACCATCGTATATCAATGGTTATTCTTATTACTACGTACAGCTTTAAAAGCAACAAAACAATTTCTTATTAAGGTGGTTAACTCCAACAAAAGAATAAAACTAAACCTTACAACCCTTAAAAGCTTAAGGGAATTATTATAATTTATGGCTATTCGGAATATTTTAGTACATTTTAAATGATCCAGTTACAGTGTCTTTTCATAAGTACATTGGTATCGCCATGCAATTTTAATCCATATGCTTAAACCCCTTTCACAGTTTATAGGAACAAAGCAGTTCTGATTCACAAACAATGCCCTGCAGTCAAATACTCATGAGGTATTAATTTACAACTTCATCTGTGATCAGTTAAACTGCATGTGAAATCTTAAACATCCTTAAAAAGCTCACCACAAATATAGTTCAATAAGAGATTCTTGGGTTAACATTACTTTAACAAAAAACATGTAAGATTAAATTCTATGGTAAAATAAAACCAAATGCCACTTTCTTTTAAGGATAAGCCACTAACAAAACAATCTTTTAAACTGTCACCTTTTGCATCTAAAATATTAATTAAAAATGTAATGTCAGTATCAAAAAACATATGCTTCAAAAGCTCTGGTAGGACAAGTCACAGATAAAAAGAAAACCAATTTCAGGAAGAAAATGTACATATTTCAACAAATAAGATGTTTCTTTAATCAGTCCCAGGAGCCAGATTTATTAAAATGTCAGGTCAATCTGAATTATACCAAAATAAAAGATTAAAATTACCAGTTTTACCAAACAACTAAAATGTCAGATCTACATAAGTTATGGACAAAGACAACAGTAATGAAAGAAGATGATATAAGTTTCCAATTCAGCTTATTTTAGTGAAAAACAATAATCCCTAACTTCCAAGAAACATGCAGTTTTGAGCTTTAATATTTACGTAATTCGAACCTTAGAATGTTTATTTAGGATTTTTTTAGCGAGCCACAAGTAATAGTTATTTTGATCAGTTTTTTAAGGCAATCAGAGAAATTATTACCTCATATAACAAAACATCCGGAGCTACAGGAGTTCTAGGATTAGTTAATTTACACTCAACATTATCATCACAGGCCTAGGTTCTTTCCATGTTTTCCCTGTGCCATCCTTAATGTGATGACTTTTGTCCCTTAGTGATCCAAAATGGCTAGAATAGTTGCAAGTATCACTTTACCTAATGTCCAAAGATCAGAAAACAGACTGCCCTTTCCTAATGCATCTCTAACAAAAAACAAGGAAAACTTGTCCCAATAAACATCTTCTTAAGTGTTTCTGGCCACTCCTTATTAAATCAATCTCTAGCAAAGGTAATGAAATAACCATGACCGGCTTAAATTAATTTAGATTCAGCCCCTGCAGGTAAAGAAGAACACAGCTTCCCACAGGGCATAGGGGCATCTAAGTGATAAAAACCAGAGTATCAAAATGACTATATCGATTTGTGACGCATCGAAAAGTGAAGCATCAAATCAATACTATTTTCATACATTGCATATAATTATATACAACAGTTGCTATTTCCTTTACATGATTCAAACCAACATTATACATCCAATGAGGCAACCCCTTTTTGTAACCCTGTATATCTCAATTCTGATAAACTGAATATCTCACTAGAAAACTTTATACAGTATATATATATATATATATATATATACACACACAGTAATTTTCCATCTAAATTAAGAAAGACAAAATAAGATAAAAGCAGTAATTCAAAGTATGTATCAGGCTTTCAGCAAAAAGCAAGGAATTGAATACATGCATGAACTTCTGATTCCTCCTGAACCCCACTAAAACTACTCTCAAAGACAAAAATAACAGAAAAGCAAACAAAGGTGACAAAAATTTCGATATTAGAAAGCAGAGTGAGGAGTAGTGATTAACTCAACAAACCCAAGAAAGTTGAATCCTAAACAGCAGCAGAGAAAGACAGAAGAAAGTTGGAAAGCAATCACATTTACAGTGCCATACCCCTAAAAGACACCACACTGGCTGGCATTAGGCATCTGTAGGAATGGGAGTAAAGGTAGGACATAAAAGTTTGTTTAAAAAGCAGCTAGACTTCCAGATCCTGTCCTGTACTCTGCACATTAGGACATACACCCCACCTCTTTTTCTCATCCAGGCAGAAGACAGGAGATCCATCTTCTAGAAAGGATAAAAAGAGGACTAAAAAAAATATTGAGAACATAAGGATTAACTGAAAATTGACACACTAAACTTTGGGGCCTCCAATTTTCTTCTCCTTCTTGGCTCCAGAAGGCAGAAAGTTGGAAAAGGAACCTTTCTATAATTGAAATAGTCTAAGAAACAATCTAATGTTATCAACATGGAATTCTGCTACAGAACAGCCCAGCCAGATCATTTAACAGTGGCACCAACAGCTGACAACTCCTACCCAAGCACAGATATTGTCTTTCAATTTCCCACTTTTAAAAATAAGCAAAGAGGTAAATATCACCAGACGTTTAAAGAAAATCTCTACTGTGAAAGACAGATGCTAAAATATACAAAAATTGTAAACGACAACTTCGAGAAAAGGGAGATGTGCATTAGGAAAAAAGCTGGGGGGAAAAAGCCTATCTTATTAATATCCTCAGAGAGATGAGAGAAGATACTGCATCCATGAGACAAGAACAGATGTTACTAAAAAAGAAAATCAGAATAAGAACCCTTTGAAATTAAAAATATGACAGTAAAAATCAAAATTTCTCAAAAAAGTAGAATAAAATTAGAAGAGAAAAGATAATATAGAGGACCAATCCAAGATGTCTAATATCCAAATGATTGGAGTTCCAAAAGAGAGAGAGAGAACAAAGAAAATAGGAAGAAATCAAACAAATTATTTCAGAAAAACAAAGCTGGGAAAACTGATTTCTCAGAACTGAAGGACATGATCCCTATCAAAAGAATCCATCACCAATGTGTCCAGTAAAACGGATGAAAAGAGATTCATGCAAAGACATTATCAGGACAAAGAGCCTAAAGGCTTTTGTAGAAAAAAACAAACAATTCAAACAAAGGATCAAGAATCAGAATGGCATCAGATTTCACCACAGCAACACTAAAAGCCAGAAGACAATGGAGCATTGCCTTGAAAATACAAAGGCAATTTTGACAAAAAACAAAAATGAAACGCACTACTGAGACAGAATAGCTTTATACCAAAAATGTCTGCTTTAAGTAAGCTGATTTTATGACAGCTAGTACCCCAAGGGACAAGTAAGATCACTCAAATCTGAGCAGCTCTAAATACTTCAATTCTATATAAAGAACAAGAAAAATGGAGTTGTGGCTTAATTCAGGATGCTCCCAACTCTCAGTTGGAAACTTCTAACTAGAACTTCTAATGTTCATGAAACACTTCCTTCTTCTTAACTGGAAATCATGCAAAATCAAAGACAATGAAAATAGCACTTCATTTTCAGTAAAATTTTGTTGTTAGTGCTGTTGAGCCAATTCCAACACCAAGTGACTTTGTGTACAGCAGAGTGGAACCTGCCCAGTCTTTTGGGG